CGAATTTTCCATACTGTTTGAAATATATCGGGACATTTAAAATCCACATGAACATCAATATCAATAACTGCCGAAAATACAATCGGAACATTATACATCGATTCACGATATTATCGGCGTAAATTTGGAGCGTCAAAAAGAGATTACCTAATGGCAAGATTCAAATATTACGTGTAACCTTCTGAAGAAAAGTAATTATTTTCCCTTTTCAATAGAAAAATCATTCTGCAAGAACTCAGCAACCATCTGCGTCAATGTCGCCGTGCCGCTGCGATTCTGTCACGAGGAGCACTGGTTACAAAAATAAGCTAAAATGAACCTATTAGTTGTCAATAATTAACGCAAACTGAAAGCATTTATGAAATTATTATATTATTTGCAAAAAGAAAATCATTATTTTATGCGACGAAAAAGCCTTTGAAAAACAGCTTTAAATCAATAAATAACCCTCAATTGATCCCAGACAATTTAAAGTTACAAGAACTTTTCAAATATAAAAAAGAAATCAAAAACGTCGATCATGTTCCTAGAACTGAGAGATTTTCTTTATGTTGACTTTTTGAGCCATTTCTATAATCAGCGCAATCTTAGGATGGGTAATATTCGACCAATAGTCATGGATAATTATTGCCAACTCTCAATAATTATAACATAACATATTATTCACTGAAAATCATTGTTTTATATGAAGACATAGGTTTTGTTCTAAAACAGCTTTAAATTAATAACTAAAAAATTCTTTTGAATTTATTATTCTTCACTTTCAGGTTAACGGCTCAGTTCAAAGGAAAAGTAAGCACTAGCAGCACGCATATTATCACATAGTGTATAAATATTAGAAATCAGGGGTTTTGTTTGACATCACCTCTTGGTTGCCCTTTTAAGTTGTTTTTTGTTTAAGAAAATAAATGAAAAATAAATAAATAGGGGAATACATTAATATAAGGGAATAAATGGAAGTGTTTTATAACAATATTTTATCAGAAAGTACAAAAAAAAATTTATTTTTTATGTGACATTTATTAGTTTAACACAATAATCAAGAAATAAACTTCTTATGCTGGTCTCCTCCAGAAAGTATATTAATTGCTGATCTTTATTCATACCATTTAAGTTATTCAATGTTTTTATAAGAAGAATTGTATTAATATTCTGCTACATATGTTTCAGTTGCTTTCAGTAATTCGAAAGAGAAAAAAAATCGCCTGAAGTTAAAATGAATATTTCTTCAGAACCGTTTTCGTATTTTTTTCCCGATGAAACCAAACAAATATTTGTGAAGCAGTATAACAGTCTCGCTAGATACAATTTTTTTTTATTTGGAAAATATACCCTACAGCCTGTTTGATTTATGGTATAACACGCATCATCAATCCTGTGTTCAATATAATTATTTCGCAAATAGTAATCCTTAACATATGAAATTTTTCTTGCTGAGTATTATGAAAATTAAATAAATTTTGAAATTTGCTCACGAATTTTAAAAATTTCTGAAAAAAAAAATTATTTTGATAATTTTTAACGAAAGCATTTTTGGTGAAATTAACATGAACATGAATATTTAAAGAAAAGAAACTAACTCGAGGAAGAGCATGAATATGTTTCAGAAAAACGGTGTTGTTTTTAAAAAAAAAAAAGGTTTGCGTACATAAACATTAAATAAATAAATAAAATGAAGGAAAATAGACTAGTGACAAACTGTTTTGAAGTATTTTTCTTACGCGAAATCGAATAAAATCTCACTCATGTCTATAATTTTTCCTTTTTCTGTCATTTTCTTCGCTACTTAAAAAATTGAGCAAATGCGGCTAAAAAATTTAAAACTCTAGAATACCAGTTTAACTTTTGTCTCTTATAAACCATTCGGACAATTTTTATGAAATTTTGTATTTTGTCTACAAAATTATACAGTTTTAAATTGCGTAAAAAAAATTAAAACAAATGTATGAAGTCAGATTTGAATAAATATTTTCGAGCAAAACTATTTTTATTATCTTGAATAATTTCTAAAGGCTAGCGAAATGAGAAAAAGATGAAAATAATGAACGAGAAAGTAATTCTTGGTAGCTCAGTATATTTTTGAGATAGGGATCATCTAAGTTTTAGATACTTATAGGAATCCAAACTCGTCGGAAAAAATTGTATTCAGAGAAAGTACTTTTTGTACCTATTTTAGAAATTTAGAACATCGTCAGTACCAATTAATTTGCTTATTTTAGGTTTGCTTCTTAAGCAGGATCTTTAAATTCAGGTTTTCCAAGTTTCATTTAGTGTATAGTACAAATTTTGAAGGTGTATATTAACTACAAAAATAAAAATACAGAATATTTTTATACTTTAACACCAATAGACAACATATCTTTAATCATAAACTTCACATTAGAAAACGGTCTCTCCGTACTCAAAATTCAATACAACGTTTTAAGTTTTTTCTTTCTTTTCAAAGCATTGTTATTTTATGACGTAGACTTTTTATTTTTGCTTGATAAAAACTCATAATCATAGTGCAGCAGTTCTATCCTATGCTTTCTTGAAATTGATTGTAGTAGATGTCTTGCCATTGAAATAGCAATGGGTCGGAAGAACTTTCTAAGACTTGCCAAAGACTCCAAAAAACTCAGAAGGAATAAAGTTACGTGATGCGAAAAAATAAATCAAAATTTCAATAGATACAGCTCTGGTAAATATGTATTTGCGTGTCTTGGGTTGATGAAAACCTTTTTCATCAGAAACTCATGTTAATTAATTTTTTGAGACGTGAGGAGTGCACGTGATAATAGAAATTGCGATGCTTTTAGACAATGAATCAAACGGTGGTGTCTTATAGAACAGAATACTTCAAGATATCAAACGATATTTCTAGGAGTGCCCAAGCCAATAATTTTGTCTCCAGCTAGCCAATCCGCGGGCCAATTTCTCTTTATATATTTAAAAATCGCTGTGAAAAAACTATATACGCAAAAACTATATGGCTGCGCAAAAACTTTTTACTATGCTGCTGCGCAAAGCAACATGACTATGAAACTGCGCAAAAACTATATGACTGTGCTGAGCAAAAACTATACTACTGCCCAAAACTTAGAATTACTGATGTGAATGGGAAAATGTGCATGGAGTGTGATGAAATGAAGAAAAAATTGGTTATTAGATTCAAGAATTATTGACGGTTAAACGTGTAATAAAAAATATTCAGAAAGCCCTTCTGCAGTTCGCAGAGATTGAAATTGGGGAAACTGAAAAGGCTATTTTCATTTGTGAACTTAGCAAGTGTTTTCTGAAATTCAAAGTTCTTCAAATGTTTTTGCAAATTTATGTGCTTTTTCGTTAATTTTCTTGTTTTAAATTATGACAACTTATACATTGTAGTAGGAAAATTTTTCCATTTTTTCGCTAAATCTCTATTTTATAAGCTCGCACTTAAGTTGATATCAAAAGTAATGATAAAAAGAGAGAAAGACAGGTGTTGCTAGATCTGAAGTCGTTATTGATTCGAACTGTTATCGTGATATAATATAATAGTTAGATATCGATATACTCATTCGTATTGAGCGCCACATTCTTTATTTCTCAGTTTAAAAATTTTTTCTTTCTTTTTTTAACAGTAGACTTTTTTTCTGATGCAGATATCGCTCGTTTTATTGCGATTAACATGTAAACAAATGTTACATAACATGCCAAACATTTCGTAAATTGCCAAATTGCAAATGACATGCGAATAAAATAGTCGTTAAACGAGGGCGATTCTTGACTCGAATAAAAAAAAACTTTAATTTTTAACATCTTATTAAAAATTAAGATGTTTTTAGCAGATAGTGTCATGAAGGTGAATTTCGCAACATAATAAATCTAAAGCAAATTAGATTCTTTGAAAGTGACAAAGCGAATTCTTTTGAACCATGAACTATAAACAGTCAAATTGAAATTTAAAAAAAATAGAAAGAAATGAAAAGAAAATGTATAAGACAAAGGGGCAAGACAAAGGGATAATTCTGTCCCTTTTCAGATAAATAGCGTTAAAAAAAGTAAGCATAGGGTTCGAAGGGACAAAATACTGCGTTAATTTAGGGTAATGATCATCGGGTTGGTTGATGTAACCAGCTCTTAAGACGGTGATTTCTTTAGTGTAAAAGTCATGCTCTATACGCCCATTATTCTAATTTGGAATCGCATTTTCTGTACTTACTGTAAAAAACAATCAGCGTTTTTTTTTACACTTACAATACTTAAAGTGTATCTTAAAAGTCAGTGTTTCAATAAATTAATTACCTAGTGTTGGAGTTCAAACCTATCAGAAATCGGTGAGCTTGAATTTTTGTTTATACATAAAATAAATTATCTTATAAGCCATTAACAAATCTGTCTAATGTTGAAACGAGATTCCACTAGTTTTTTGTCAGGGATTTTAAAACGAAAAATTAATAATCTTTGCAGTCTTTACAAAAAGTTTTGCATTGACTGTTACGTCACGCGCCCAAGTATCATAATTTTGATCTAGTTGCGCTCTCTACGTCACTTTGTTAACATTGTTTGGTTTGTCATTTCTAAATTAACTTTCAAAAATTGGCTGGCAACAGCATTTTTATTCTTTAAGTTGTTTATTTTATTTCTTTTAGAATTCGTTCTTTTTTAGCGAAATGTTTTTCAACCTAATCGAATTCTTTGCCGACTGTTCTCTCTATATATGAAGAAAATAAAGTAAAGATTTAAGTGTTGTGAAAAGAATCGTATTTAGTTGTACAAAGTATTTCATTTGGCTCCCGAACAGGGACCACAGCAAATAAAAAATGACAAGCTTCTTCAAAAGCTGATTTAAGAAAGCAGATTTGTTAGTGGTTCTGGAAGAAATTGGAGAGACAGTGCCGGTTGGATCGACTTTAGCAAAATTAAAACACTTGATTTTGGCTAGCGATGAATATAAAAAGGATCCAGAATTCGTAAAACAGGTATTTGAAGATACTGTTAAAGAGAGAAAGAAACAGGAAGAATTGGAAAAGGTCCGAATGGCTATGCTTCAAGAAAAAGAAAAAGAAGCCATAGAATTGGAAATGGCCCGAATGGCTCATGAATTGGAAATGGCCAGATTACAGGCGCAAGATCGAGAATCGACAATTCATAATATCGCCAATTCAAGTTCAATTAATGCCGAAGCTGTTAATGCTAGGAGAAAATTTACGTTACCAAAGCTGGAGTTCAGGCAGTTTGGCGGCGATGTCAAGGAATGGCTTCCTTTTTGGAGCCAATTTCAGCACATAGATAAGGATGCGGATATTGCCCTTGAAGACAAATTCCATTATCTGATACAAGCTACTGTGATGGGTTCCAGAGCGAGAGAGATTGTAGAAAGTTTCCCGCCAACGGGGGCAAATTATACTAAAGCCATCGATAGTCTGAAATCGAGATTTGGAAACGAGGATCTTTTGGTGGAGATATACGCAAGGGAACTTCTCAAATTAATTATTAATGTTCAGTTGAATAGATCTTTTCCGCTTACTTCCTTATATGATAAGCTGGAAATATATTTAAGAGCTTTGGACACTCTCGGGGTTACTACAGACAAGTGCGCATCTATTCTCTACCCGATGGTAGAATCCTGTTTTCCGGAAGAATTTTTGAAGCCCTACCATCGGAGTAATTCTTTAACTCCAAAATTAGAAGCCAAAGAAAGGCTGAACAAACTGATGGTGTTTTTAAAGGAAGAAGTGGAGGGTGAAGCCCTAATTAATTTAGCTATGGAAGGTTTTGGCCTGCTTAAAGTGAAAGATAATAAGGTTGCTAAGAAGGAAAAAGTTGAATAAAAGAAAGCAGCACCACCTCAATAAGGCCGGTATTCGATGCTTCTGCCCGTATGAAAGGACACCCTTCCCTTAACGACTGTTTACACAGCGGTCCTAACTTAATTGAACTTATCCCGGATGTCTTATTGCGTTTTAGGGAAAGAAGTATTGGTATTTTTTCAGATGTGAGAAGAACGTTTTTACAATTAAGTGTCGCCAAAGAAGATAGAGATTTTGTATGGTTCTTATGGTGGCAAAATGAGGAGGACAAAAAGTGTAAAATATTTCGACATACAAGAGTTGTCTTCAGGGTAACGAGTAGTCCTTTTCTTTTGGCAGCTGTTATCAGGTATCATATACAAAATGACCAAGATAACGATGAAGATTTCAAGAAAAGGCTCTTACAGAGTTTCTATGTTGGCAATTCTTTAACCAGTGTAGATACTCCACTTGAAATGGAAGAATTTAAGCAAAAATCTATTGAATTGATGAAAAAAGGAAGTTTCGAGTTGAGAAGTTGGGAAAACTCACATTGCAAAGACTCGCCCACAGAATCAACTATATTAGGTTTGAAATGGAATAAAGTGGAGGACACCCTCAAGGTAAATATGAGTTGGTTAAAAGAAATCAATATGGAAAAAGTCACTAAACGATCTATTCTGTCTATCGCTCACCGCATTTTCGATCCTATTGGATTTACCACTCCAGTCATGCTGTGCCTAAAGTTAATGCTACAAAAGGCATGGGCCGATGGGTGTTGCTTGGGATGAAGAGATAAGAGAAGATCTGAAAAAAGAGTTTCGTCAGTGGTATGCAGAATTAAAAATATTGGAAGAAATTGAGATTCCCAGATGGATTCTGGTTAATTCAGAAAATCTAGAGAACTGTTCCTTACATACATTTTGCGATGCCAGTAAAGAGGCTTATGCAGCTGTGGTTTTCTTAAGGATTGAAGAGAAAGATGGCGATAAAATCAGTTTTGTGTCGGCGAAGTCTCGTATTACGTCACTCAAAGGAGGGACCATACCAAGGTTGGAGTTAACCGCTGCCTTGGTGGGAGCTAGACTCTCACAATCAGTTGCACAAGCTCTTGACTGGAAGAATATCAAGCAATACTTTTGGAGCGATTCCACAACAGTTCTCGCTTGGATAACCAAAGCAGAAAATTGGTCAGTTTTTGTTAGGAATCGCACAGATGAAATAAGAAAATCGAGCGACTTCTTCTCCTGGCTCCATGTTGCAGGAAAATTGAACCCGGCAGATCTTCCTTCCAGAGGATGTTCTTCTAAAACATTGAAAGCTATGAAATGGTGGGGGGGGGGTCCAGCCTGGTTGAAAGAACCAACTTGGAATATTACCACAGAGATTGATGTCCACAATGACGAGGAAATTGTAAAAGAACTGTCAAAGTCTGGTGGTTTTTTGACCAATTGCAACCAATTGACTAAAGAAGACGACTCTCAATTGAATCATAACATCGACAGAGAAGAAATAATATCTGACCAACGGCAATATTTAACAATCTCAACTTGCGGCATTAATGTAGATATTTCATGGATTTTCTCTTACTTTTCTAAATATTCGAAGATTCTACGAATGATAGCGTAGATGCTGAGGTTCACAAGCAATTCACAGCTCAAGAAAGAATAGAGAAAAACTGGTGAACTGAAAGTGTCTGAATTGGTGATAGCTGAAAAAAGGTTGGCAAAACTAGTTCAGCAAATGGTTTTTGTCCCAGGAGACATTGACAGGCTCAAAACAATATCTGTGTTTAAAGATGAGGGAGGCCTTCTACGCGTCAAAACCAAGTTGACAGAAAGGAAAGACGACGCTGATTTTATATCTCCTATTCTACTACCTAGCAAACATGATCTTGTTGACTGCATAAATTTGGATTTGCATCTAAAAATGCGCCATGCTGTTTAAATGTATTGATGTCTAAACTAAGAGAAAGGTTTTGGATAATAAAGAGTAAAAAAGCAATTAGAAAGGTACTGAAACGATGTATAAGGTGCAAGAGACACGAAGCCAAACCAATACAAACTGTTCCTGTGGTCTTACCAGAAAATAGAGTCAGAGATGCGTCACCTTTTGAAGTCAGTGGAGTCGACCTATGTGGCCCCTTAATTCTTAATAACCAATCGAAAGCGTGTTTCGTCCTCTTCACATGTGCTGTGCACTGCTCCATCCATTTAGAACTGATACAGTCACTTTCTACACATGGTTTTTTTCTTGGCTCTTCGAATATTCATAGCCCGAAGGGGCAGACCAAAGGTCATCTATAGTGACAATGGAACAAACTTCGTGGGAGCCGACAACCTATTCAAATCTCTAGATTGGAGCGTGATCGAGATAGAATCTTCAATAAAAAGAATTCAGTGGTACTTCTGTCCCCCTGCTGCCCCATGGTGGGGAGGTTTTTGGGAAATCATGGTGAAGCTGATCAAGACCCTTTTGAGAAAAGTTTTAGGTAGATCTTCATTGAATTACGAAGAACTACAAAGTGTTCTTATCGATTGTGAAAGTACTGTAAACTAAAGACCCCTAACGTATGTTTCCGAAGACTCCAATGACCTGATTCCACTGACACCTGCATTGTTCTTAGGTGAGTTAACAGAGGTGGGTGTTCCAGACCTGGATAATATCGACAGAGTAAACCTAAAGAGAAGATTTCGTTATCAACAAAATCTAAGGAAAGATTTAAGAAAGCGATTTGACGAATACCTTGGAAAATTAGTAATGCGCCCGTCCAAGGTTAAAGGTAATCAACGAATAGCTGCGGGAGATATCGTCCTAATTGAAACTGAAGGTAAAAAGAAGGTTCTCTGGCCAATGGGAAGAGTGACGGAAACATCTGTAAATGAACTTAATATGGCGAATTTAAATCTCGAGCACCATCAACAGCCGCTGTTTTCCACACAGCTTCTTTTACGTAAGAAGCTGCGATGGCCGATCTATGGAGATTAGATTTAATAGGAATCAAAGATCCCATTGAGAAGAAATTGAAAAAGGAAAAAGATTTTGAAGCACAGGAACATTTTCTTAAGACGGCACAAAGGTCTTCAAAAGCTGGCTTGACGAAAAAATCATTGAAGAAGTACCCTCTAATGAAACAGCTTCTTACGTAAAAGAACAAAGAAGAGGTTGCCTATTTTGTGATAGCAAACATAATAGTTTCGACTGTTTTTCCGCCCAGAAGAAGCCTTTAGTTGAGAGGCAGGAAATTGTAAAAAGTAAAAAAGGGTGTTTTGCGTGTTTGGTTCCCGGACACGTAGCTAAGTACTGCAGGAATTTCATAAAATGCCTGATTTGTGGTCGAAAACATGTGACACTCATGTGTGAAAACCTAGAACAAATGAGAAAATCAGCTTCAAAAGAGGGAGAAAAGGCGCAGACGGAAACATCTGTAAATTAACTTAATATGGCGAATTTAAATCTCGAGCACCGTCAACAGCCGCTGTTTTCCACACATTGACAGTTCTTATAATAATGTTTGCAGTCAGTGTGGCACTTTGCTGTCATGGTTTGAGCCAGGATTGGATTACTCGTTCTAAAATCGATAAGTATCTTTCTAACTTTTAACATCACTTGCAGATTTTCATACTTACAGATTTTCTAAATTTTCTACATGTTTTTCAAATTTTGATATTTTTATTCATAGCTTGCGAGTTCTCTAAACATTTTACATAGCTTTAATTTTTCTTAAATACTTGACCGTTGCTTTTGAATTTTTTAAATCTTGTGCATAATTTCTGAATTTTTAAATTTTGCATGTAGATTCTGAATTTTTTAAATGATGAAACATAGCTTTTGAATTTTTTGAATATTGTCTAAAGTTAGTAAATATTATAATGTATGTATGTTGCTTAATTAGTCACGACCAAAAATTAACATTAAAAACCGTTCCTAGTTAATTAAAAACTAAATTGATACAAATCATCTAAAATAATTTAAATAAATTTAACAAAACAGGGGCATTTAAATTTTACTTAAATTCAAATAAAAAAAAGTTAAAAAATATAAAAGTGATGCATTATAAACTGATTTTCCTATATTTTGAAATTTTCGTTCCGTTTAAAAAGAGCGTTTATTAAACTAGATTATGTATTTTTTTTTTGCCTGCGCAATACGTATAATAGAATGAAGTTTTTTCATTTAAATAAGGTAAAACAATTTCTATAATAGGAGAAAAAAATGCAAGCCTTTCTCTGCGTAATGTTTAGATATCGAAAAGAATACCTCATACGGTATATCGTCTATAAGCATAACCTACTATCAATCATCTAAGAAGAAATATTTCAAAAACAATTTTCAACGTTTGAAAGATTTACTATGGCGTGTAACTTAGTATGTACTTTCTTCAGTTTTTCCTTGATGCCAAATTTGTAAAATTATTATCGGAAATAAAACAGAAAACAAAGTAAGAACTTAAGCCATTTCGAAAATAAACTAAATAGGTTAGATAAAAATGAATGAATATTATTCCATCCTATCAACTTGGAAATGTAGTGCACGCAGGTGCTTTATTTCCGAAAAATAACCTTGCTTCCAAGAAACGTTTTATGCCAGATTTTATTTTGGCATTAGCTAGAGGGTATAATTGAATACAAATACGAGATTAATGATGGAAAGACGTCACTTTTTATTTAAATATTCGGAGCTTTAGATTATTTTTTAATATAATTATTGAATATTTAAGAAAAAAAGAAAGCCTTAAATGGATTGGCTATAATGTTTGGAATTTTAAACCGTTGCGACAGGTTGCAGAAAAAAGCTTCATCTCACATTTTTACAAAAGAATATTTTTTCGAAGCTCTTTCGCCAAAAAAATGAAGTCACAGTTTAAGGGTTTTAAACTTGAACCAAAGCTATATTTATAGAATATATACACACACTATTTCGGGGTAAATAATTAAATAGAAAAAAAAGGCTTATATTATTAAAAAGACATACAAATGTTTGAAAATTGAGTAACTTGGAGAAATTTTTCACGCCAATGGAAATGAAAAAGCCGTAGTTTGAATGTTTTTCTAAGCTCTATCACGAAGAAAAGAAGAGCCATATTTAAATGCGTTGTACTTGAGACAAAGCTAAAATTTTAATAATATTTTGACGATAAGAATTATATGGAACGAAGACATATAAACACTTCAAAACATATAAAAAATTTTAAAAAAATATCTCCGACTTGGCGAGATTTTTTAAACGAGATGAAATTTGTATAAATCAATGAATAATTCTGACGTTTTGCGAACTTTTTTAATTAAAAAAAAGCAATGTTGCATTAGAATTAATTTTTGACTGCCGAAAAATTAGATTTAAAAAAATGCTTATTGCTTTTAACAAACTCTTAGTGCTGTTTTTCGAATCTCTGTATCCGCCAAGAAAAATAAAAAAACCATAGTTAAAGTGCTTTACACTTGAAGCAAAACTATATGTATAATCTTGCCGTGAAGAATTATCTGGGCTTTAGAACAGACAAATAACTTAAATCTTTAAAAAGTTATTCAACTTTTTTTAAAAATCGTCAATTCGGTGACATTTTTCCACCTAGATGAAAATTATCAATATCACTGTCGTATTCTCAGTTTTTACAAGTATTCTCAGTATTCTCCTCTAAGTCGTATTCTCAGTTTTTAAGCTCTACATATATTGATAAAACACATTTTTATACTGAAAATATATTGATTTTTGTTTCACGCACGTTGGTAAAACATTTCCATATAAGGCATTTTTTTATAGCATTGCGCAACGCCTTTATTTAAAATTTTACTTGTGACGACATAGAAGATGTGATTTTATTATCAGACCAACTCTATTGTTTTCAAATATATCACGTCAAAGTTATCAAAAAATAAAATACTACTAACTGGAAAAGTTGAGAAAAAAATAAAATGTCATTTTCTTACTTAAGTGTATCAAACCCAGAACAGATAAGTTCTATATATTCTCCTTAGCTTTAAATTTTACGGGTGTTTCAACATGCTTATCAACTTAACTGCTCTAATTTAAGTCATTTAATGGAACCCAACTAAAATGGTAATCATATTGATACATCTCGTGGAGTACCTCTTCTATCAATCCCAGTAAAGTACTAATGCGTGTTATAGCTGCATAGAAGCGTCTCTACTACCTGTTGGTACAGAGAGGAATATTTGTGACAGAGCAGTTATTGTAATTGGCGAGAAATGTTTATGTCAATTTGGAAGACCACATAAACTTGAATTGGAGATGGAACATTTTAGACGTTAATGTTGGTATGTAGAGAAATTACAATATTTCTATTATTACTGAAGATATCACATTTTAGTACGACTTCAGTATCATTCAGAAATTTCATTGATTATATTTTAACTAAACTTTTAAGAAGACTTTAATTTTTAAGGAGAACTTAGTGTTTTTAAAAACTATTTTAAACAAAATAAATTCTGTCCCTTCTGTCAAAAGTTTAGATATTTAAGTTTTAAAATATTTCATTTATATTTCTGAAGATTTCTTTAATATTTTTATTTCATAATATTTTCCCTCTATAATTTGTCTTTGTCTTCTCATTTTTTTGCACGATACAAATTTATACATAGCAAAATATTGTGAAAAAATGTAAGGCA